GCTGCTTTGGCCACTTCTTGGGCTCACAGTAGACATCAGCGGAGCCCAGCAGACCTCTGCATGGCGGTCTACCCTTCTGCCAGCCACTCCATGTGGGCATCCTGCCCACTCCTGTGTGGGGCTGGAGAGGGGCAGACATTCTCCTGGGCTCACCCCCAACCAATGCTCACTCATGAAACCAGCCCTAGACCACTGCTTTGCCACCGCCACCTCTCCAAGGCCCTCATTGTCATAACCCTTCCACACTCCCTGCCGTACCTGGACCCCCAGCCCAGGACTCTTCACCTTCTCTGGGTCAGAGAAAATGGCTCTTGAGTCTCACACTGTTTCTCCAATGAGGACAAAAATTTCAAAGCGTTTCTTAGGATGCTTTTGTTGCAAGAAACAGAAATTCATCAGACTAGTTTAAGCAAGAAAAGTGGAAAAACAGTTGGAAAAACAGGGATCATGCTCAGCACAAAGAATTGGAGTGTAGGCAGCTCTCTGCTGCTCTCTCTGAGCCAGGATTTCCTGGCTCAATGGGTGAACCCAACATAGCACCTCCCTGGATTTGAGGGTGCCTGCTGGAGACTACTAACAGCCTTTGATCTCTTCCTACTGCTGGCCGAGCCTCCACTTGGCTCAGGTGTTTATGCTGACCCCAAGTGACTTGGGGTGGCACCTAAGAGTCTACACCACTTTCCAGGACCCTGGGCTGTGATGGATTTGGGAGCGGACTTTTGATCTAGTTTTGGGAAGGGAGATGCCCAGGAAGTTTTCCGGGAGCCTCTGGAAAGTTTGCACCAATGCCAGAAAGGGGGTGCACAGGAAGAGAGAGTGACAGCATGGATGAGGGAGTGATGAGTAAGGATGCTGAGCAAATCAGAAGGCCCCACCCGATTGCAAAGTCTTGTGTGACCTTGTCAAGGAGCACGGAGAATGGGCTAGAGGGAAGCGCTTGCCAGCAAGACAGCACTTAGGAAGTGGCTGGATGAATCACACTGATTGGATCCAGAGGAAGGTTCTGCAGGACAGGCACAAGGAATACAGGGTGATAAGGAGGTGAACAGCTTGTTGTCGGTGTTCAACGGTCTCAAGAACCTGCCCCCTAAGGCCACCATGTCCTCCTGGGCTTCACTCTGGGCACTCAGAGAGAGACGTGTTCTTCTTAAATTAAAAGTTTTCAGGAAATGGGATGAAGACGGTTTCATTTAGACTAATGGCCCAACTCCCCAGCTTCGCTTTATACTATAGGAGCGTGACGTCTCGGCCACATAGGGCTGATTCAGCCTTCGGAGAGGCTGGGTCCGTCTGTTGCAGGACATACCTGCATACAAGACGCATCCTTTCCTGCTGACTAATGTGAACACTCTGGACCGGGCCAGGTTACACGCACACAGGCGTCTGTGATTTACTGCTGAGTTTTGCAAGAGTCACACAGGGAAGCCATCACTCAGCTCCTCAAGGGTTTAGAAGTGAGCCCTCAAAAAGAGTGCAAGGGAAGAGGGGCTCAGCCACTCAGAACTAGCAAGGAAAAAGAGAGGCAGTTGGGGGAAGCCTACAGCAAGAAAGGGGGGACACAGGGCAGACAATACTCCTGGCGGACAATACTGGTGGTTCCTGAGCTAAAATTAAGGTGTCAGCGGAACTGTGCTCCCTCTGGAAGGTGAGGGGAGAACCCATTCCTGATCTTTTTTCAGCTTTTAGAAGCTGCCCATCTTCCTTGGCTGATGATGGGTCCCTTTAGCAACCCCATCACGCTGACCTCCGCTTCCCTGGTCCCTTCTCCTTCCCTGAGCCTCATCCCCCTGCCTCTCTCTTATAAGAACCCCATGACTACATTGGTTCCATCAGGATAATTACCCCATCTCAAGACCCTTAATCACATCGGCAAAGTCCCTTTTGCCATGTAAGGGGATATATTCACAATTCTGGGGACCAGGACATGAACAATGGGCAGCCATTACTCTGGTACCACCTGCGTTCCTAGCATAGGGGTACAAACAAGAGTACACCTCCATCCAGCTCCTGGCTCCACCATTGGCCAGCAGATCCAGGTCCCTAACTGCTCTGAGTTTTAGTTAGTCTCACCTGAGAAATCAGAATAATAGAAGGTTTTATTATTCTATTATTCTTCTAAATCGAATAAAGGCCTCCCTGGTGGGGCAGGGGTTAAAGACACAGTGCTATCAAACTATCGCCAGCCACTGCAGCATGAGTTCCATCCCCAGCCAGGGAGCTGACCCACATGGCAGAGCAGACCTCTCCTGTCTTGCCCGCTGCTCCCCTCAGTAGTGCATGTCAGTCAGTCTGCCTGTTCTGCTCCCCACTCTGGTGGGGAGCACCCCCTGCACCTCTGGCCTACACCCCAGTTCTTGTATGCATAAATAAATAAATCTTTTTAAAAAATCGAATAACACAACAGATGCAAAGTTTGTGAAACAAGTGGCTCAATTAAGTGGTAACTCATCTTCCTTCCTGCTAACAGGTCACAGAAATTCCACCATTTGGGATTTATTTCTTTGGCTCTTTCCTCAAGTACACATCTCAAGTCCTTGTCAGCCTAGTGGGGCAAGTTGGCAGTTTAATTAAGTCAGGCTCCTCAATGGGACCTGGAGAGGTGGGCAGGTTCAGAGAAACTGATCAAGCAGAAGGAGTGGGCACTAGAAGGAGAAACACACTTCCCTTGCCAGCTGCTCAGCTTTGCCTGCGGCTCTGCTTTGGCTGAGACTTTCTCCAGCCTCTCCCCAAATTAACCAGGGTGAGCCTGCCTAATAGGAACACGCTGAAGATGAGCTGGGAGATAAGAGAAGACCTGCCCAGTTGGGTTTGCAGCAGAGTGGGGCAGATCCTGGCATGGAAAAGTACTGAGGCCCTTTGCCTCAGGTGCTGGAGCTGCAATCTGAAATGATGATCCCAGACAGACCTCTGCAAGTCAGCCTTGCAGACTGAAATGAAAACCAGATTCCTGGTCTTATCAGAGAGTTACGTGACTGTTTCCCATCATTTGTTTGGAGCCTGGAAACTTCCCAAACAAACTCCCTAAGTTTTGCCATGGAACTCACCATTTGCAAATGGAAGCTTGTTATTATAGGTATCTGCCTGCACAGAGGGCTTCTCCCCTTTGCTAAAATGATGTTATTTGGGGCTTTCATTCACCCAGCCAAGATTTAATAAGCACCTACAGGGGGCCAGGCAAAGCCCGGGGGGGCTCAGGGGTCCCTGTACACAGGAGAGCAGACTTGGAAAGAATTACACCCTGCAGAGAGTGGGACAAAGGTGACATCCTCCTGAAGAGCAGACAGAGAAGCAGGGGAAACTGATCAGGTGGAAAGAATATGCAGGCTGACCAGGAATTCTTCTGCAGCAGGGAGACACAGGCTCTGGCGCTCACCCACTTGAATCTGCTCCACATACTCCCCAGCTGTGTGATCTTGGGCACATGACCTCGCTTCTTTAAGGCTCAGCTGGCTCTTCTGTAGGGTGGCGTCACCAATAACCTTCTCCAGGGTTGTTGTGAGGTTAAAGGGGATGGACAGGTAAGGCCTATGGTAGGGATGTGAGGACACCAGCCTCCTAATGAACTGTCACTGTGCAAGTTAAAAAAGCAACAATTAAAATGATACCCACTGGTGCCAAATCTGTAGGGACACACGTGGGGACCATGTGTACCCACAGATTCTACAGTTTGGAAGTGAGCTTGACTGCAGCCACCACCAGGGTGTCTAATTTCCGTCCTGGGGGCAGGTTCCCGGTAGGAGGCGCCTTCTGTCCTCAGCTCATTTCCCTGAACCCCGGCCAGCTGCCGTTTGGCTTTCCTCAGAGTTTGAACTTCAAAGGGCTGGACACTCAGATGAGAAGGGCACCCGGGCCTGACCTCTCTTGGAATTAAAACAAAACAAATCCAGAGGCGGGTGACTTCCTTCTGTGTTTAGATTGCCTGTGTTAGGGGCTCCGCCTGAGACCAGCCTATCCTAGCTGGGTGAGAGCAGCCAGGTTCCGGGCTACCCTCCAGGTAGGGCCACCCTCCAGGTAGGGCCAGAGGCTTGCTGGCAGGTAAGCAAGGCCGGGAGAAGCAAGGCTCACCCTCCCCAGAGCCAGTCCTTGGGACAGCAGCCTGGGCAGACTAGGGCCACCGCCTGCCATCTGGTGCCAAGGACAGCAACGGGTGCTTTAATGGGAAAGTTCTCGCAACCCCAGGAAGGGGTCCCCCGAATCCTCTACTAGGGGTACAGGCAACCAGAATGGGCTCAGTCCCAGTCATGCTACCGGAGGGCACCCAGGGGACCTGGAATAGGTGGGGAGCCGGCGAAGGCATGAGCTCACACGCTTTTTAAAAACTCGCTTCCTCCTTTCCGACCTCCGCCCATCAGTCACCTCGCAGGGCACCGGCCCGGGCGGCACAGGCAGGACCCAGAGCCCCGCGCCCCCCGCGGCGGGAGAGGGAGGCCGAGGCCCCCTGGGGTACCGGCCGCGGGAAGGAGCAGCAGGCGCAGCGGGCGGCCAGGTGACCGCCAGGCCAGGTAAAGGCGCGGCGGGGGGTCCCCAGAGCTCGACCTCGGCCGGCGCTGGGTCTGGAAGGGGGGGTCTGTGTCTCGGCACCCCCAATTCAAGTTCAGTTCCGCGTTCCCAGGGGGAGGGTCCTCGAGACTCTGCCCCCCACCCGCACCCCCGCGTCAGCGACCCCGCCCGGCGCCCCTGGCCGGGCAGGAGCGGGCGCCCACCCTGCGCGCTGGGGGCGGGGCGGGGCGGGGCGGGGGGGGGCGGCCGGGGGGCGGCGCCTCCCGGGCCCGAGGGAGCTCGCCGGGGCGCCGCCCTCCGCTCCAGCCGCGCCTCCTCCCGCGAGCCGGCGCTCCCGGCCGCGCTGCTGCGTCCCCAGCCGGGTCGGGGAGCGGGCGGCGCCCCCCCAGCCGCGCCTCCTCCGTCCAGCTCCCCAGAGCCCCGGCCCGGGACCCCAGCCCGGGAGGAGGAACCCCGCGAGGGGGGCCGGGGTCTCCAGACCCGCAGCCCCAGGCGCCCCGCCGAGCCCCAGCGCCCGCCGCGCCCCGGTGAGTCCGCGCCCCGCGCCCCGCGCCCCGCGCCTCGCGCCCCTGCCCCGCGGCGCCGGCCGGGGGCCGCTGATGCCCCGCGGGGTGGGGTGGGGGGGGCTCGAGAACCGTCCGGTCTGTTCGCCCGCGCGTCCGTGAGCGCCCGCCGGGCCTGCCTCGGGGGCTCTGCCCCTCGCCTCCGGGCCGCGCGCGGGGTCCCCGGCCCGGGGGGCGGGCGGGCCTCGGGCCAGGGCGGGCGCCGCGCCGGCGGGTTTCCAGCCCTCGCCGAGAGGACTCTCCCCCGGTGCTGAGGACACAGCCCCCCACCCAGGTCCCCGAAACCGTCCTGGCGCCGCCCGCAGGGCCCCCCCGCCCCCGCAGTCCCCACTCCTGCCTGGCCCCCGAGACTCTCCGGGAACGCGCCGGTGCGCTGGGTGTGCGCTTCGGCTCAGAAGCACAAAGGTGAGGCTTGGGCGCGAGCAGCGTGGGGGGGTCCTCAGGTCTCTGCGTTGTATAATGGGGGCGCCAGCCTCCCGGGGCGAGGGGACCCTAGAAATCCAGACCAGACCGGGTCCGCGCCCCGACGCGTGTGGCCCCGCGAGCCTGCTCCTCCCTCCCCCGGCGGGGCGCGGGAAGACGGGGCGTCCCGACGGCTCCCCAGCCCCGCCCGGCCCCCCTGAACCGCCGGGCACCCGGGCGGCGCGCAGAGGCTGGGGGGCCGCGCGGGGGGTCCGGGCGCCGCGGAGCCGCGTGGGCCCCGAGGGCGCGGAGAGAAAGTGCGCTCCGGGGCAGGTGCTGACTGTGGCTCTGGGCAGGGGGGGCGGCTCCGGGCGCTGGCCGCGTCCCCTGCTGGGCACCTGTCGCTCGGTTCTCGACCCGGCTTGGCCGACTGGGCCACATGGCGCTGGGAGGGAGCCCGCTCCTCCAAACACCGCCCGCCCACAGCTCGCTAGAGGTGCTGCCCGACCGGGAGAAAGGGCAGGAGAGGGTGCCGGGGCCTCCTGTGCTGTGGTTGCCTGAGCTGTCGGCGCCGGCTGGTGCCTGGGCACGGAGCCTGGGGAGGAATGTGCTGGTAGATGGTGCTTGTGTGTGTGTTTCCGGTCAGGAGCAGAAGGTGAGGGCTGGGCGTGAGCAACGTGGAGTGGTCCTCAGGTTTCTCCGCTGTAAAATGGGGGAGCTAGCCTCCCCGCACGAGGGGGACCCTCAGCTGGTACTAGGGAGGGCCTGCCTACCCCAGGGGTACAGGGACCCAGGGCTGGGGAGCCCCCAGCCAGGGGAGAGGCAGAGGTGGGGAATGTCCCGAGTCACCGAGAGGTGTTATGATCAGGCCCCACCACTGGCTGGCCTCGCGGCCCCTGTGGCTGGTGTGTCTCGCCCGCTGGACCTTGGTTCCTTCATCTGTGAAATCAGAATGATCACCTCCTAGGGCCTAGCGGGAGCGGGTCCTCAGTAATAAGAGCTGCTGCAGGCTTAGGGGAGAATGCAGGATTGGAAAGAACTGGTAAGAAAAGAAAGGTAGATGGGGCCTCCCTGGTGGCGCAAGGGGTTAAGACGCAACCTATGAAGCTGTCTGCAGCCTCTGTAGCACGAGTTGGATCCCCAGCCAGGGAGCTACCCACACGGCGCAGCAGACCTCTCCTGACTCCCCGCTGCTCCCCTCAGCAGTGTATTTCGTCAGTCTGCCTGTTCTGTTCCCCACTCTGTCTCTGGTGAATCCCCTCACCCCACACCTCTGGCCTGCACCCCAGTTCTTGTATGCATAAATAAATAAATCTTTGAAAAAAGAGAAAGAAAAGAAAGGTAGAGTTTCCAACTGTGAATGGGAGGCCCTTGCAGAGAGGGGGGTGGGGGGAAGGGAGTCTGGGCAGATGGAACAGCGCAGGGAAAGGCACTGAATCGTGAAGGTGCAGAGGATGTGCTGGGCTAGGAGGAGGTGCTCAGGTAGTGGAGGGCGGGTTTGGGGCAGAGCTAGACTGGATGGGTGGGGACCAGGGCATTGCAGGTGGGACTTTATCAGGTTGATGAACTATTCAACACAAGCAGAGCAGGCGCCTTCTGGTGCTGTGCTAGGTGCTCGGCATGGATCACTGAGCAAGAAAGACAGATGCCATTCTAGTTCCGTAAGCCGGGAAGTCATCTGATCCTGTTGTTACATTGGGAAGATAAATCTGGAATGGAAGTTGGACAGTTTGGGGAAGGCTGCTAGGAGTGGGGAGACTGGCCTGTGGCTTGGTGGGGGTATAGAAAGGGGGCTGGGTTGGAGCCCCATATTGGCGGCACAGATTCACATGAGGTCTCAACATGTGGCCGCAGTCAAGGGTGAGGCTGGATTCAGTGTGAGGCTCAAGCTACCCACTCACCCACCAGAGAGGAGTGGTCTAGGGCCTTGGTGGGTCCAAGTGGCCCAGCTCTGGCTTTCGGACTCTCTGGCTCCAGAAATCACGAGGCCTAGCAGTCCTCTGTGTGCAGCTGCCATCACAGCCAGCAGCCCATCTCCTGTTGACCTTTGTTCTGGGCAGCCTGACCCTTTGGGGGCTTCTGTTTTATTAGGTCAGGGTAACTCTCCTCCTCCCTCTCTGGACCTGGCAGTCAAACTCTCAGGACTTGGGCTGCAAGAGCCTGGGGTGAGAGGAGCTTGGGCTCTGGATATTTCTTCTCCCCCAGTTCCAGACTATAGTGGAATTCAAGGGACTGAGAAGTTTTCTCCCTAAGTGCCAGGAAAGTTCCAGAAGCTCAGCTGTCTTCTGACATGGAGATATGGTGAAGGGTCTCCTTTGGCTGCTGGCTTTTGCTTTCGCTTTTGTTGTGTCTGCTCGGAGCTGGGAAGAGGCCTTCCTGCCGTTGACAGCTGTGAATGCCCTTCTCCGTGTCAGAGGCCTCCCGTGATTGGGGCTGAGCCATGTTTGGCTTTATTTGCCTCAGGAGAACCCTCGTTATCTCAAGTGGAGGGAACCACTCTTATTTGACAAACTTGGAGAAAAGAGGTTCGCCCCAAGGTGAGCAGCTAGTAAGCAGCAGAACTGGGACTAGCACCCAGCCCTGCTGACCCCTCCAGGGCCCTCAGTTTTATCCAAGGCCTGACCAATGGGACATACCCTTGTTTTAGGCCCCAGAGTAAGATTTGGTGGTTTCTCAACATCTCAGTCTTGTCTACCTTTTCTTGGAGACTTGCTCACCCCCACCTGCCCAGGTGGCCCAGCTGAGCCTGGAATGTTTATTTCCTCCCTTCTTCTGGATGGAGCCCTTGCTGGACTGGCAACTCCTCTCGGGAGCTCTGGCTCCTCAGAGAAACGGATCAAGGATTTGGTTTCCTTGCTTCAGGCCTCACTGCCCTGCCCCTCCCAGGACACTGGCCAGAGTAGCTCCCTGAGGGTCTCTTCTAAGCTCTCCCAGTGGCTGTGGCCTCAGACTGACTCCTTTCTCCCTCCTTCCCTGAGCCCCAACCAGTATCTCACCGGCTGGGCCTTTCCAGCAAGGGTTGTTTACTTGAGCTGAGCACCCCAGTTCTGCTCCTCTCTTGGCCTAGATTTATGAGACTCAGCAGCTATGAGACCTGAACGATGGCTCCTTTAGCTCCTGGAATAATAGAGCCAGAAAGACCTCGGACATCTGACCAACTAATGGGGAAACTGAGGCATGGGGAGGCAGAGCTAGAGCCCAGCTTCCTTGTTCTGTCATTATTTTAAGGATAATTCTTGGAAAAAAACAAACCAAACCAGACCACTCCTCTTCCTCAAGAGCCCTTGTCTCTCTGTGCTGGGAATGTGGGGGACATCCACAGTGACAAGCCCAGAAGGGGTACATGCTGAGGTCCCTGAAAACTGGGGGTGCCCTTTGAGGAGTATGTACCTTGACATTTTCGGGTTCTGTCAGTTCAGGCTGGGAGGCAGCAAGCAAGAGGTGACACTTGTGTGTCGCCAACCCATACTTTATAACGTGCCTCCGAGTGGACAGGCTCTTAAAGTTGTTTTCTCCCCCAGATGATAAAACAAGTCCCAGTTCATGGTATTGTAGGAAAACTTGGAAGGAAAGCGTCTTGACACACCAGCCACCAGGGTGAACATTGTGCATTCTATTCAGATTTTTTGTTTTCTGGCTCGCTCTGCTCTTTCACATCCTGGTTTCTCAGTTCATCCCCATAATGTGTTTCCCGTGTGACACATTGTTCACACTGTTCTGATTGCCTGTCATCGGGTCCGCCATCCGATGACTGAAAGGTCAGGCTGCGTCAGATCCCCCTGCTTAATGTCCTGCAGGTCACTCCAGGGCCACCTCTCTGCACCCTGGTGTTTGGGGAAGGGCTGCATGGACAGAATCTAAAGCAAACGCCGGTTCCCAGGGAGTCTCTAAGAAGCGCAGCGAGTCAGCCCTCTTGGGTGGAATGGGTGTGACCCAAGATCGCACAGCCTGTGGGAGAAAACTGTGTTCCTTTTCCTTCTCATTTTCTTGCTGTGTTGATTTTGCTCCCACTGCACCATCTCCACCCCCGACCCCAGATCTCCCTGGGATTAGGTCTTGGGGTGGCAAGTGCAGATCCCTGGAAAAATCACTCTTTGGCTTGCTCGTCCCCAAGCCCTGCCTCTTAGAGAACAGGTGTTCAAAGGCAAAGGTGTGCAGAGAATCTGTTACCTGCTCAGGCGACCCAAGGCACCTGGAGGACAGGTCCCAGGTATGGCACCTCCTCTAGCAGGATCGTAGCTTCATCAATGCATGGGAATTATCAGCACTGGAAGCCTCCTCTCCAGTTGTCTGGGCTGATGTTTACAGATGCAGGCAGCGACTCATTAGCGGTTTTTAGGTCCGTTAAGTGGTTTTTCCACAGATTTTTAAAAAGCCAAATAGAAGAGAGTAGACTAGAAAACAGCATGTCTCCGGTCGTGAGAGTATTCTTTAGTAAATCTTTCATCTCAGTTATCTGTGGGCGCTAAGTCACCAAATTAATTATCTTGCCAACTGTGCGGTAAGAACCTTGGGCAAAACTACTTGGGTCCACTGCTTTTTATTTCTTCTTTTTTTTTTTT